TGCCTTTACACTTATTTAGCGCATCAACATATTTAGTCTTATATTTGTCATTTGTTGCTAGAGATAGTAGATAGTCTGCGTTGTACGGATTTGTGCAAGTTATTAAGGATTCCTGGTGTGTGGTTATATTCTTTTCTAATATATATATATATGGTGGTATATATGGTGTTATAAAGCTCTTTAGTATAAGGCATGCGCAGCCCTCTAGATAGATCAAAAGCATTGTCCAGAAAGTTGATCTCCTTGGCGTGGGTGATAGTGATGATATTAACTCCGTGATCCTTGAAGAATTTGAAGAGTTCTTTCCTAAACCGATCAGTTTGTTGTGGCTTGGCGTTACGTAGAAGGATAACTGCGTCGTCTCTGTATAGACCAGTGTTCTCACTATCGAAAGTATAACTAAGTCTCCATAGTAGTAGAATGCCAACCAGTTCACAAGTCGAACGCTCCCATCGCTATAGAGTAGTTAGGATTGTCTTTTTTAGTCCACATAGAGCCATCGTGATATAGGATGAATTTTTAGGCTTGCATAATTATACCGATATTCTGGTCGGTGATGGTGCAATAATTTTTGGCCAGGGTTATAGCAGCCATTAATAGGTCTTAAGTTATCTACGAGTAGAAGTTTGTGATGTCCAAATGCATGATGGTACACTCGCCTTTATTTTATTTTTTTATATTAGAAAACCAATTGATGGTTTCTTTAGTATTCTTCCATTGGTTGACTCCAGTGGCATTCCCAGTGTATTTGCAAACTCGCTCTAGTAAAGCCTTGCTGATTTTGCCTATATTATTCTTAGAAGGGTTTAGCAATCAAAACTGCGGGCTGTTGGGGAAATTATGCTTATAGTCCTTAACGGTAATAAAAGCTTATGAAGCTTATGCATCCTGTCGTAGTAGTTGTAATCCGTGCCTCGTTGTTAATATCATTTTTCCATTCAGCTGGGGCTTTCTTATATATTTTATTAACTTCCTTACAAATAGCTTTGTGGTAGTCAGCAACGTTATATTAATATAGATTGCCAGTTTTATCAGATTTGATGATGATTTTATCAGTATTACGTATCTTGGCAATGTCTTTTTTCATATTCGTCTGTTGGTTATGTTTGGTTATTTAATTCTATTTACTACAGAGAATAAGTTTTGTTTTTTTCAAATTCTTGGGCAAGGTCATCGCTAGGTGGTATTTTCAGGGACTTAAATCCAAAGGAATCCCTAGATTTACATTCATTGTGGTTTGCTCTTTTGGTGAAAAATAGTTTCCATCTTATTCTACTCACGACACTCCCTATTTCATGTAATAAGCCTAGTTCGTAATAGTTCCTTGTAGGGACGAGTATAAAGTAACCTTCCAGGTTATAGGTATCTCAACAGACACGCCTGGATTGACACAAGTTTAACTGATGATGTGTATTATGTTTTCGACGTAACATCTCGTCTTTGACCTACCCAACAGTACACCCAATACTTCGATATTCATCACATTAAATTATATTCGTAATTCTTTAACATACGGCACAAGGCCAGATGGAAAAAATATTATGACAAGAAGAGTGCATGACTGCAGTCTTTCAAGTCAATTTGCCTTGAAAATCAGTAATCCTTTTTATCACCTACATTCGAACACCGACCGCTGGGAAACATACAACTATGCGGAAGACTACAGTATAGACATTTACAAAGGTTTCCAGAATTTAATTCTTTTTTTTTCTATTGATTGTATTCTCGTTTTCATTATTGGCTGTGATATACAGTTTTACATCCCCTCAAACGCAGTTTGTGTGAAGTTAAAAAAATAATATATTTCTTTTTCAGATCAAATATACTTTAAGAACAAAATATGACCGATACAATTAATTCAATCAGCAAAATATTTCTAAGCGATTTACAAAGAGAAATTTTAACTGAGAACTTAATTTCAGGACAATTTATTCGTCATCCGTTGAAGCAGATAAAAAAAAAAAAGAAATCTACCGTATTTGGACGTATAACAATATTTAATTTATATAAAACATTTGCCATATTTACAAATATTATTACAATTTACTGTGTTAGAACAGGTACGACTGCTTGTGGTCTATGGTGTCTGGATAAACATTAGTGATGTAATGAATATGCATACACCTAGATTCTCCCTCACAGTAATATGACTGGCTGGTGTCAGCCATAAATACAGACTGATGTGGAGGTACAGGGACTACGCCTATTGTCTTCGCCTATTGCCCACGACTACGACGAGGACCAGTCCATTACGGTTACCTGCTAGATTGTCCTACCCGGTTACAATAGTCAACAACCACTTTGCTACTTTGAACAAATATATCCCTTTCCGAGACATATCAGTTAATCGACGAGATACCTCACTTTCACATGAAAGCCATTTGGATGGAGGAAAAGAGGTGGGGGTTTCTATACCATCAAATACGTTATGTTACATGTAGATATGGCCTACCGACTGGATACAATGGTCGGAAATGTGAGAGCATTAGCGTTCCCACCATGAGAACCGGGTTCGAAACTTCCCATGGCTGACTGGGCTTCGTAATAATATTGTCCTGGGGAGATGATCCTAGTAGGTGACACCGTTGGGAAGTGTCTGCAAAAACATACCACGAGTTGACTCAAATATTGTCGAGTCAAATGGAATAGACACAACTGTTCGGAAGCCATCAAAGTTAATGGAGGAGCAAAGTGATTCTGGATCGCCTGTAATGTTAAGAACTTGGGATTATATGTTGATGCCAGTGCGCAAGTCAATGTATACAGGGACTGCAAAATAAGGCATACACTATTACAGTGTAACCCGGATATAAGAGACCCGGATATAAGAGAGATTTTCTCTGGTCCCAAATTAGAGGCTGTGTTAATGTATACATATAGACCTAACTCCGGATATAAGAGAAACCCGGATATAAGTGACTTCTTCTCCGGTCCTGACAACTCTCTTATATCCGGGTTAGGTCTATATGTATACATTAACACAGCCTCTAATTTGGGACCAGAGAAAATCTCTCTTATATCCGGGTCTCTTACATCCGGGTTACACTGTATAACAATATTACCAAAATAATAATAGTAGTTCTAGAATTCATTTAATACATTAAAATCATTTTTAATATTTTTATTTCCATAATTTTTATTATAATACATTTATAATTTTTATTTTTTAATAAATAATAGCTTCTTCGCAGGTAAAGCGGAGTGTCTGAACATCTGAAGGATTGATATGTTCATTATTGATATATTTGCATAATTAATACAATACGTTTTCTGCGCACGTTTTTATTTTTTCATTACTATATACGTACTTTTGCATCACGCTGTATTCTTTTGATATGTCATATATATATCAAGCTCTGAAGCAGAGACGCCATCAAAATCGTGCTTTAACAAATTTCATTTGTCAGTGTGACTTTGTCGCCCGCAGCAAGGCTGGGCTAGTATCACACTTAAGAAAGCAAAAATGAAATATTTCTTTCCCTTACCTGATTTTCTCCACAATAGCCCCTGCTAGCATGAATAAGTGTAAAACAAAAGGCACCATCTACTGCTGATCCTCATTTATCATTCACGATAGTAAAGTCCACCATATATATATATATATATATATATATATATATATATATATATCGAGTATGTCTGTCTAAGAGTGCGGCTAGACAACCTCTGTAGCAGGCTTTTGCTTTAACACCAACAGCCAACCTGGATTGCAACTATGCTGAGTGGCCTTATTTACAGTTTCTGGGAGAGAGTGCATTATCTGGTGCGGTCAACAGTCTGAACAATGCCAGTACATCGGTCACTTAGTGCTGGTACAACTATCGACGTCTCCCAAAATAGTTTCATCTACATAGTTTCACACACAAGACTTGGGTCATTTTCCAAAGGTGCCGCACGCTTGCCCCCCAACTACCAACTCCCAGGCTGATGACATCAAGAAGTTAGCTTCGTGGCAAATTCGAACATAGGCCTCATTGTTGGAAAGCGACTCTCCTAACCACTCGGTCATACGGTAATGATAAATGCAACGATAAACCCTGGCATTTTAATATTGTTTTCAATTCCCATATGCAACCTTCTCTTGTCAAAATTTGACCAAAATTTTCATTTAATCAAAAATTAACATTTGTAGTAGTCTAAAATGGTCGTTCGTACTCAAACGATCCTAGAAAGGCAGAATTTATATATATATATATATATATATATATATATATATATATATATAAACAAATCATCCGAGAGAATTAAGAACCAACACTAAATCTCGGGCTAATACATCAGCCAGTATGACGGTCAACTCTTCAGCATGTCCCTCATGTGAAATCCCGTGCAGGATTGTTGTCTCATACGAAACATAAACATAAAAACTTAGACTGAAAGACACTCATACGCCGAAACGACGCGAGAGTCCATCATCATCAGCACACACACACACACACACACACATATACATATATGTGTGTATACATATGTGTGTGTGTGTGTGTGTGTGTGTGTAGCCATCGATAGTTGTGCTACCACCAAGTCAAAAGTCATTTTTCAAAAAGTTCATCGCACCAGATTATATGTTCTCTCCCAGAAACGATAACTAAGGTCCGCTCAGCATAGGTGCAGTATAATCCACAGGTGGGCTCTGTGGGTTGAACGAACGTCTGTAATAGAGTTTTGCTAGCCGCCCTGACACACAGGTGTGCTCGGAAAAGAGTAGCCAGATATTATGTATGTGTTATGTATGATTGATTGGTTTATTCTTTTTTTACAGTTTACCAACCTCTTGCGGGTTATTTAAAGCCAGAAAATATTTTTCAGATTGTAAGGATTTTTTTGCAGATAATGATTTTTACTGCTACAGTTGCATAACTGGTGGGAGGAGAAGAGGAGGATTCATATCTTTCCCCAAATGTAATTTGTGGGTAAGAAAATATAACGAACCCAACTGGAACTAGAACACAGCTCTCTAATTTCGAGCCGTTGTCTATTACACCACCCGCACATTTAAGCTTACAGCCCCTGATATTCCCAAGCGGTCATCGATCTAGATACTGAACAGGCTCGACGTTGCTTAACTTCAGTCATCGTACGAGAACCAGTGTTTCAACATGACATGGCCGTGAGACTATTATGTATGTATGTGGTATGTATATATGTGCATGTGTTATATATGCGTGGTATGTATGTGCGATAAATATGCTTGTATGTATGTGTTTTATATGAGTGATGTATGTGTGATATATATGGATGTGGATATGTGCGATATATATGTATGTATGTATGTATGTATATGTTATATATATGTAATATGTATGTGTAATATATATTATATGAATAAAGCCAAAAGGAAAACTTATCTTAGCCAATACGTTTCGTCCTCTGAGGAACTTTATCAAAGCAAATATGTATGTATATATATGTATGTATGTATCGGTTCGCATTCCGACCATGAGACAATAGTCAATTTGTCAGGAAAAAGACTTCCTGGTGTTATCGGACTGGAGGGGTCGATACCAGCGTACGGCACCTTTGGAAAGTGCCTGAAAACCATACCACTGGTTGAACCCAGCCTTGTGAGAGAAATTGGGTAGACAGAACCCTTGGGAGCCGTCGACAGCTGTGCTAGCACGAAGTCACAAGTCATCGTGACCGAGGCTTTGAATGTGGTCGCCTTGTTCAGACTGTTGATCACGCTAGACAACACGCTCTCTCTCCCAGAAACTGGAACTAAGGTCTGCTCAGCATAGTTGAAGTATAAACCACAGGTTGACTCTGTGGGTGTTCAACAAACACAAATGTGTCTGAGTGAGCGTCTGCAATAGGGATTGGCTAGCCGCCCTAGAAGATGGATATCCTCGAATACGTGTAGCCAGCTATTATCGGTTATACACAAGTGTGTGCGCATAAAATAATGAGATGATTAAAGTTAAGCCTTCGTTTGACAAATATTTCCATGTCATTACTTTAAATTGTTCTTTTTGGACTTTTTATTTGTATTTAATTAATCTTTTATAATGAAATTGCATCTTTGTTTTTGTTTTTGTTTTTTCAGCTTTCCAACACATTTGTTTTTTAATATGGCATGACATTTCTGAATTTGATAATGAAAAGAAAGACGCAAATTAGTTTTTTTTTTTTTTTTTTTTCTCCAATGTATTTAATTTAACCAGTGGTGTGTTTAAGAAGAAAAAAAAGGCAAACATCCGTTCAACACACACAATGCCTTATCGTTCTTGCTATGCATACATTAAATATGTAAACATGTTTTAATTAAAACTACAAACAAATGTTCAGGCTTTTTTTTTTTTTTTTTTTTTACGCACCAGTTACTTGTGATATATATATATATATATATATATATATATATATATATGTGTGTGTGTGTGTGTGTGTGTGTGTGTGTGTGTGTGTGTGTGTGTGAAAAGTGTATATAAATATATATATGTATAATTATTTATATATGATATGCGCGGTACTTATTAGAAAGCGCTCAATATCAGAGATAGAGCTAACATATTTGGTTAGCTGTTTAAAATTTTTTGTAGTAGATAATTTGATTTTTTCCGAATCAATATATATATATATATATATATATATTGATCCGGAACAAATCAAATTATCTACTACAAAAAAAATTTAAACAGCTAACCTTATCCTCAAAAATAACAACACACCAACAAAATCAAAATGACAACGAACGAACATGATCTATGAGTTCAAATGGCCCTTAAGGAACTGTTCATGACCAAACCGAATTCATAAATACATCGGTCACACGATTACAAGCCTATCCAGACGCGTTACGTTCCATCTATCTGACCTCAGCTCTATTAGAACCCATCTAAAACACTTACACCACTTACTAGATTATCCGAAACATACAAAGATAACAATGTCATCCACATGTAAAAAAGATTTAAAATAATGGAAGTCTTAATAATAAAAAAGAAAAAGCCAAAACTTAATAATATTAACTACGAACACGCTCACAATGTGCTGTGTTCGGAAAATAAAACATCTCTAACACTAAAAACACACACAACCTACACACCCAGTGAAATTGAAAAAGTAAAATCATCCTTGATAGTGCCTAAAATTATAGCCGAAAGCGCTCGGAATTATAAAAATTTAGGTAGTTTCTACACACTGTGTCCAAAAAAGAAAACACCTGTTTGAACACAAGAAAAATTAAATAAAAAGCTTAATCGTAGTATCTTGCTTGTCGTCTTTAATGAAACATATATATATATATATATATATATATATATATATATATATATATATATATGTTTGTGTGTGGACGTGTGCATATTTTGTTTAACAGTCTGTTCCACTTGGTTTCACATTTGTATCAAACTAAACTAAGATTAGTAAATGCAAACAAACATGCATATAAACAGATATTACTACTGCCTCAGGGATTTGGGCCATGACAAAATTTATTAAATTAAGTATGTTGTTTCAACAAATACAGACATAATATATATATTAGTCAAACACGTTTCTATAAAAAGCCGGAATACGCAATTCTTGACAGTCGAAAGTGTTGGGATGCAAAAAAAAAAAAAATTTTGTATGTTTGCCATTTTAAATTTTGACATAAAACAACTATAGTCGGAAGTTGAAAAAAATTTCAACAGACTGATTTTGTCGGTCTTGTTTAGCAAAATTTGTTTAAACGAATTCTTTCCGACTAAATGCACCTTCATATATATATATATATATATATATATATATATATATATATATATAAATACTTGTATATATATATATATATAAAAAATACATGTTTTATATATATATATGTATAAATACATGTAAATACTTGTATATATATATATATAAATACATGTTTTATATATATATATGTATAAATACATGTAAATACTTGTGTGTATATATATATATATATATATATATATATATATATATATATATATATATATATATATATAATATGAAATTTATCAACATACAAAAACCACATTTGCGAAAGAATATTCGTAAATTAGGAAAAAGATCATTGAATATAAAATGCCTGTTTTTGTGACAATAGTTTTTTCATGAAAAATATAACGAATTGTGTGTGTTTGTATGTAAATATACACAATGCTTATGTGTGTATTTGTGCCTTGTGTGTTGGTTTTTACATTTATCTAACTTCGGTTTTAATCTTAAATCCTTTCTATATACATATAATATGTGTGAGTGCGTGCGTGCGTGTTATAAAGAGATATATACATATAAGCTGATGTATATTTCACTTTACGATTGTTCCTTTATGAACTAACAAGATAATCTTTGTAGATATACAGAATTAAATTTTATTATACGTAAGTAAATATTCACGGATGGTGACAAGCGCATTTCGATACCACAAGTGCTAAGTGCTTCCGTCGGTGTGTATTAGTGTGCATAATTGTAAAGACCCTATAATGACACGTAGGTAATAGATGAGTAGTGCCTGTAAAGGATCAGAACAACGGTAAGTAATATTTCTTTGTGTTCAAATTACCTGCGTGAGATATAACCTGAAGTAATCATATCAATAAAGAGGTTGTGTATGACTGCAATAGAGAAATGCCGAACAGGTGTCGATTTGTCGTTATTAATATTCTTCGGTGTGAACGAGATGTTTTGATTAAACGGAAGATGAATTGACAGGAAAAGGAAGTGTGTTGTTTTAGATGAAATGTTAAAGAAACTGTTAAACAGTGGATGCATAGACCCAGCGCCGAAAGGCTACATATATATATATATATATATATATATATATATATATATATATATATATAGAGAGAGAGAGAGAGAGAGAGAGAGAGAGATAGATAGATAGAAGCAGGATAAATTTGCTACAAGGAAAATCATTAAACACCATATTTCTGCTGTAGCCTCTGAAACACATATAACGTTCACAATATATTATAGAAAATGGAAGACTGTAAACTTCGTCGTCACTAACCGAAATAACCCAACCAAATCTAAACTAGCGGCGACAAATACAGTGTACCAATTTCAATGCCCAGTACAAGACTGTGTTACTTGTCAAAAATCAAGTACCTATATCGGACACACCACTACCTCCTTAAGCAGACGTCTTATATGTCACCTTTCGAAACAGAGTGCGATAAATAAATATTTATTAACTTTACAAGAACCTTTAAGGAAAATTCTAGTAAATAGCACAAAAATTATTTTATAATCACAGTCGTGGAAAACTTATCAAGGAAGCATTGCTGATTAAATACCGTTCTCCTGCTATGAATATTACACTGTTTAGCAGTGGAGACACCGTGTTAAAGCTTTTCTAAAAAATAGGACTGGTGCACAGGTCAACCGGTCGCGCATAGCACATGACCGCCAAAAAAACTTACCCCCTCACGTACTCCACACAGCTAAACTATTATGTAGAAATTTACACACAGAAATTCAACAACCAAAAACAACATCCTTGATAATGGCTAGGGAACTAGCCGAAACCGTTCGGAGCAATTATAACTATGGACATTTTCTATATTGTTTCACCCCTGAAAAACGGGAAAATGTTAAGATACTGTAAAAACTCAAAAGATGAATTAAATCTTCCTTGTCAGGCGTTTTCAATGAAAGATGTTTGAAAGAAAGGTTGCTGCCTAAATTATATATATATATATATATATGTATGTGCGTGTGTAAACTGTTCAGTTGTTCTTTTTATCCGAGCGCTTTCAGCTATACATTTAGCCACTTTCAGCTATACATTTAGCCACTTTCAAGGCTGAAATATATTAACTGTTACCAAGAAATAGATTGTTGTGTGTATGTATATATTTATATGTTTTCATTTTCAAAAAACGGTCAAGATATTGTGTCCATACTCATAGTTGATATTATTGAGTGATGGTTGTTTTTTTTTTTTTGTTTTGTTTTTGGTTTTTTATTAATAAGGCTTCCATTGTTTTGAGCCTTTATTTTATTTTTTTTTATATATATATATATATATATATATATATATATATATATATATGTGTGTGTGTGTGTGTGTGTGTGTGTGTGTGTGTATATATATATATATATATATATATATATATTCACCCTTTTTCAGGTCTTTTGAACAGGAGTAGAGGTTTATTCCTTGGTTC